GTTGGTTGTCTTGCCACCACCAAAATGGGTTCTGAATCCAAACACAAATATGACATCTGGTGTGGTCTTGTACATTTTGGCTAGTTTTTCCCGAATTTCTGTCTTAGGTACTGTTGCCTTTCCAGGGTGAAGAACATCAATGACCATCTGTTTCTGCTGAAGTAGTCGGTTAGTCATGAACTTCCTGGTCCGGATACTTACTGTGTCGTTCATGATGGCGGCGAGGCTTCAAGCAACCGGGGAGGAAAAGATCTTCTTATAGTTTTTAACTTAAAGTCTATTTTGTCTGGTATCAGTGTAGCTACCCTTGCTCTCTTTTGGTTTCCATTTGCATGGAATTGCTTTTCCATCTCTTCACATTGAGTCTGTGTGTGTCCTTAAGGCTGAAATGAGTCTCTAACAGGCATAGTGGGGGTCATATTTTTTATCCACTTAGCACTATGTTATTTGAAGAATAGAATTCATTTGCATTTAAAGTAATTATTGATAGGTAAGAACTTATAATGCTATTTTATTGTTTTCTCATTGTTTTAAAGTTCCCTTGTTGTTTTCTTCCTATCTTCCTTTGTGAAATGAAATTTTCCAAAGTGGTATACCTTGATTCCCTTCTTTTTATCTTTCATGTTATCTATTGTAGGTTTTGCTTTGTGGTTACCATGAGGCTTACATAAAATATCTTACTGATATAACAGTACATTTTACATTTGTAACAACTTTAATCATATACAAATATTCCACCCTCCCCCCCCAACATTTTAGGATTTTGGTATAAAAATTTAACTTTTTATATTGTATATTCATTATCGCTATAGTTATTTTTAATACTTTTATCTTTTAACCTTTATACTAGAATTAATCAACACACCATCATATTACAGTATTAGAGTATTATGATTTTGACTACATACTTACCTTCTTCAGTGTTTTATATCTTCATGTTTTTCATTTTACTAGCTAGTATTCTATCATCTCAGGTTGAAGAACACCTTTCAGCATTTTTAGTAATGTTTGATGATGATTAATTCCCTTAGTTCGATTTGGGAATATCTTTCTCTCTCCTTCATTTCTGAAGGACAACTTTACTGAATAAAATATTCTTGGTTGGTTTCTTCAGCACTTTGAGTCTATCATCCCACTCTCTTCTGGCCTGAAAGGTTTCCACTGAGAAATCTGCTAACAGACTTACCAGGATTCCCTTGTCATGGGATTTTTTTTTTCTCTTGCTGCTTTAAAAACGGTCTTTTATTTTAGACAGTTTTATTATAATGTGTCTTGTTTGGGTTGAAATCTTGGGGAAAACTATAAATTTTATGAACTTAGATGTCCAAATCTCTCTCCAAATTTGGGAAATTCTCATTCATTAGGTCTCTAACCTTTCAACCCATTTCCCCCTCTCTTCGCCTTCTGGTATACCAATAAATGCATAGATTATTTTTATGGTATACCATGGTTCATGTAGGCTTTCTTCACTCTTTTTCCTTTTTTTGTTTTCAGACTAGATAACGTTAAATAATCTGTCTTCTACTTCATAATAATTTTTTCTGCTTGATCCAGTCTGCTATTGATGATTTCCATTGCATTTGCTTTCCCTAAGGTGGTGATGACTGCTCAAGCATGTGGTTTCTCCCAATCCCATGGAATCCAGTTTCTACGCATGCTCTCTAGCCATCTGCAAAGGCTCATTCTGACCATTCTTGCCCTCAGAGGCATGCACAAGAAGGCAGTCACTGGGTATGGGTGTGTCTGAGTGAGCTGCACAGAGCTTGGTGGTACCCATAGGCCAGCTGAAGTGATCAGTATGGGAGACAACCTCAGTGGCTCCGGAGTAATTTCCTGACAGAGTTCCCAAAGCAGTTAATAAAATATGTGTTCCTTTGATATGTTCCATTCCCAGCCTTAGCTGTTGTTCTCCCAGCATGACTGTCCACCCCCAAGTTGTGTAGTTCACAACCCGATATTCTGGATAGAGTGAGAAAGAAATGGGTTTTGGGAGTATCCCACATAGCTGGGAAATCCAGCACCTGCTCTCAATTTCCCACATGGAGAAAATCATGGGCAGAGAAAGTCTCTATTGGCATTGAGTTGTGCTGTCTTGGGGGAAAGGTGACACAGGTAAAGTAAAACAGCTCCATTTATTGTCTTCAACGGATCCAATCTTGGATGGTTTTTCCTCCAAGTATGCTGAAACCTCTCTGATGGACCCCTGGACTCCCATAAAGGCACTCTCGCGTCCATGAGTGATTGTCTAAATCACTGTTCTTTGAGGGTTGGATAGTAAACTTCATCCTGAAACTTCTGAAAACACCTCTCATTAATTCTTTCCTTTGCCAGTTGAAATTTACTGTTGAGCCCCTCTAGTGAATTTTCCGTTTCAGCTACTGTGCTTTTCCACTTTGGAATTTCCATTTGGTTCCTTTTTTTGTAATTTCTATCTTCTTAATGATATTCTCTATTTGATATGACTTTGTCATCATACTTTATTTTTTTAAGCATGATTTCTTTTAGTTCATTGAACTTAATGGCTACTTTGAAGAATCTATGTATTAAATCCAACATGTCACTCTCATAACCAGTATCTGCTGCCTGCTTTTTTTTTTTTTAAATGACATACGGGTTATTTTTTCATGTTTCTTTGCATGTTTCACAATTTTGTGTTGGAAACTTGATATTTTAGATAATATGTTGTCCTAATTCACAGTACTGGTCTCCCCACTCTGGGACTTGTTATTTTTTATGCTTGCTTGTTCATTTAGTAGCTAGATAGCTTATTTCGTAAATTCTATGCCCCTAATTCCCATAGCGTTAAGCCTTCGACTTGCTCCCCTGGGGAGATTTGTCTTTGCCTACAGTCATCCTGAGATGAGAGCAATTTTGGAAGAGCGCTTGGTCTCTTTCTCTGACCACACCTAGATGTTAAACTCCACTAAATATGGCCAATTGCCTTATAGTTTTCACCAATGAACGTGGGTATAAACTACTCCACAGAATAAACTAACCAAATTGACATTACTTTGAAGGGAGAGTTTCAGAGGTCCATGTTTGAGATTTGTTCTGACACTATGAGTCAGTCTCCTAGTAAGCCTATACTTAAATCTATATGTTCAATCAATCTACCAATCTCCTCTCGAATTACCTTTCACCACAAGCTCTACTGTTTTTTAGAGTACCCTTAGGCTTGAACTTCTCTACATTCTGCTGTAAATAGCGTCAGTTTCTCTGGGAAGGGATTAGAAGGGATTACTACAGGGAAAATCTGTGAGCCATAGCTGTGAAGTTGGGAGATGGACAATAGCATGCTTTACTTTGAGTGACATCCCATCTTTAGAAGCTGAGTACTTAGTGGTTGTAGGTGATATAGTAGTCTCAGGTCTTCCTGGTTTGCCTGTAGTGGTGTGGAACCACTACTTTAGAGGCTAGGGCAATTGGACTCTCAGTATTCTAAGCAGCACTGTGCCCAAAGTAGAGCCTCCATCCCAAGAATGAGGACTGGGCAAAAAAAGGGAGCCCCCATCTCTGAGTCATACTTGGCTAGCAAAACGTAGCTGGAGGCAGGATGAGAAATGCAATTGCCCTATTTCCTGGAAGACGGCGCTCCAAGTGGGGGTGGAGGGGGTAAGAAATTCTGTCTTCTTGATTGCACTGATATGGAGTTACCATCTTGCTCAGCTGGGATAGGTCCGGGAAGCAATGGGTCTTGGTACAAATACCACATATTCTTTACCATATTTTAGTAAATTTCCTTGAATAAATGTTTCTTTACTTGCTATATATCCTTCAGAACATTTCCAAGGACTGTAAATGGTTGTGTTTTTTAATAATTGTCACCAATTTTGCTAAGGAGTAGGTCCACAGAGCTCCTTATGCTGCCATGGTGGAAGTCTCTTTCAGCCATTGAGCTTTTTAAAATGTAAATCAGATCACGTCCCCATTGAAAACTCTCCAAAAATTTCCTTCACATTTATAACATAGTCCAAGTTTCTCCTAAGCTCTACAAAGTTCTACACGATGCAGCCTCTGCCAACCACTGGCTATCATTCTTTACCACTTTTTATGTACTTTATTTACTCTGCTCTAATTTCTGTCCTAACAAGGGTGGTCCTCTTCAGGGTCTATCTTCTATTCCCTTTAAAAAGCTCTCTTCCTAGATTTCTCCATGGCTTCCTTCCCCATTTCATTCAGGTCTCTGCACAAATGTCATTTCAAGATATTTTCTAAAATAGTACCTGCCCCCCATTCTTTATCCATGTATCCCACTCTGATTTTCTTTACAGCACCTAAATTTACTTAACCTATTCATTTTCTTACGTGCTTAAAGTCTGTTTCCCCCATTGGAATAACAACTCTAAGAGAGTAGGGGGCTTTGCAATCTTATTCACCACTGTATCCCCAGTATTTAGTACTTGGCACACAGTCAATACTCAATAAATACTTGTTGAATGAATAAACATAAACAAGAACTGAAATATTTTTAAAGCTATTTACATCTTAAATGACATTAACAGAGGAATATTTTTATTTATATCCATAAAGAGAATGATTAAGAGTATGGAAAAAATAGTTGTTCATTTGGCTTAGAAAATATAAACAAAGCGGCCAATATCCAAGTATTTAATATTCAGTTTCAGTAAACCTAAAACTTATTTTTATAAATAGCACTGCTGACCTGCCCTTGCCTTTACACTACATATACCAGACCCAAAAGAAATAATCAGCTCTAATTTAAAGGGAAAATAAAAATACTAAAATGATAAGTATACTACGACCACTAGTTTTGACAATTGGGGTATTAGAAGATTTACAAGCTAATCAAATTGAAAATCCTTAATCAAATACAAATTTGTCACTGTCACTAATTATAAATAAAAGTCTTTAGCATTAAAAAAGTTAGGATATTACTTCCATTTTTTCAGTTTCACTCCATATACCTTCCTATTACAGGCCAAGTTTTGCAATGAGCTTAGCAAGGCTAAGCAAAAGAATCTTAGGTTATGGAGTTTTACCTTGAGTCCTGTTTTCTCGTCATCACTTCCATTATTTGTAGATGGTGTCTCATCTCCTTGCCTGGAAACCAAGACAAAATCTTCACTATTAAGAGTAGATACTGAGTCTGAGGAGACACTGATTTTTCCAACAGAAGCCTTGTCATCCATGACTCAAGAATGAAGCTCAACTCATGAATGATTAAATATTTTAAAAATGCCTGAAAAACAAAAACCATAAAGATACTCATATAGAATGTCTGCCAGATATTCAGTTATGCTCTAATTCTTACAAAATACATATGGAAAAACTTAAAAAAATACTTTCAAAATCTTTTCCCAAGACTTTCACTACATACAACTTAGGCTTTTTATTCCAGATAATGAAGGAATCTGACGCCATTCAGGGCCAGGATATTTCAGATTAAAAAAACAAAACGAAACAATAAAACAGATTCCCTTGAGAATAACTGCCTACCTACAGTGATTTCTTTGGCATATGTTACAACTCTATTCTTGGACTTCAAAAACTATTAAGTACTAAACTTCTGTTTTCTACCCTTTAATTTGTAAAGCTGTACACATAAATGAAATTGAAAGCACACAAGACAATAAGGTTTTTCTAATGTTACTGATATTTAAATTTAAAATATTAACAAGATGCTTTTAAGAAATAAAATTTCATAGTCACACTCAAGAGAAATAAATTCAAGGCAGAGCAAGCAGAAATTCTAGAGCTGGGAAATACCTTACATAGCAAGAAATCAGAAATCCATTAAAAACTCAATCTTCCCATCCCACGGTTTCTCAAGAGTTCAACTCAACATGAACATTACCAGTAAGTTTCATGCCAAAAATTCCCAGCAAGAAGTATAAAAATACGTCACTTATGAAAGGCCACTCAAATATTTATTGACTCCCGGAATAAAACTTAAACTCATCTACCATTTAAAAACCTGGTTCTGAATACTTTATGGCAATGTTCCCATTTGGTTGCCAAAACAGCAAGAGAACAAATGATACAACACGCTCAGAAAGCTTTAACCAATAAACAGTAGTAGTTCTAGCTCTATGCTCATCTTGTACCTCAAAGAGGTAAAGGTGCTGAAGAGTCTATTTAATCTCTCCAATTAACAAGTCCTGATTTATGCTGTTTTCAATTGAACATATATTTATTGAGCATCCACCATGTGCCAAGCACTATTTTCCCTTCAAAAGCTCACAACTAGATAAACACCTGGCAGCAGGAATTACACAATCCCTCAGCATTACAGTTCAAAAGAAACTTAGAAATAATCAATACTGTTAAACAGATAAGAAAATGGCAACCCCAAAAGAAGGTAATTTACCTAGGCATAACTAAGGATGGAACCCTTACTAATGCTACTTACTTCTAAACTAATTTCCTTGCTTAAATGGCTATCACAGCTTTACATTTCATAGGACTAAATTTAAATGTATAGTGTAGCATTCAAAGACACTTCAAAATGTACTTTTTGAAAACTTTTTTAATGTAGTTTTCATCCATTCAATGAATACTCACCAAGTGTCTAGTGTATAAAGAATAATACATGGTAAGCAAGAGAAATTAAGATTCTTGCCCCAAAGGAATGTATACTGTAGCAGAGAACAGAGGCACATTGAACAGATTAATAGGTACAGATTTAGGGTAAAGAAAACTATGGGAACATGTTGGGAGAGGGATTTAGACATGGAGAGTTAAGGAATATATTCACCTGAAACTAGTAGGATATTGTATGACAATTATACATCAATAAAAAAAGAGAAATATATTAGAAGAGGTAATGTCCTTACTAAAGACATACACTTTAATACTTCCATGTATTTGCCCTCATTGGATCCTCCTTCTAAAGTGGTTTTCTTGGTTTTGTACTCCATTAACTCCCACTCATCATTCACGATCTAACTCCCCTTTTCCTAGTAGCTTGCCAATCTTCATCCCAGAACCAAATAAACTGCTTGCCTTATTTCTGCTCCTATAGCATCTTACATTTTTATAGTATTATTGTGATGTATTACAATTTGATGGTGACTGCCTCTTAATTTACTCTTCATATAATTTATTACACAGATAAGGAAATTGAGACCTAGACAGATGGTGTAACTTGTTCGAGGCAATGGCTGTAATGTAACTGGTTAGAGGCAAAGGCAAAAACCGGGCCCAGTTATCTCGTATTCCAGAAGCTATGCTCTTTCCGTCAGATTATGATACCTTTCCAACGCCACAAATATGCGCCTTGTCCCAAAACCCTCAGTATTGGGTAAAGGATTCTTTATCTGTTGTAGAACGTGCTAGTACTTTAGGCAAGGTTTTGGAGAACTAGTATTTTAGGCAAGGTTTTTCATGCTTAATTAGATTTGCATTCTTTTAAATTGTGATTAATAGGATAGCAAAGTGCCTCGGAAAGTTCTCTAAAGCTATGATCTGAGACACTGCTTTCTATGATACTCTGGACTCAAAAAATAATATACTTTGGTATTTAAACACTATGAAACTGAGAAGACTTGTCCGACTCAAAGTTCAACCTATTTCCTTTGAGGAGAAGACAGGAAAACACACTTTATAAAATACTTTACTATTTGTTTTGGCACCTGTAAAAACTGAATCACTCAGTGGGAATGAGGTTTATCAAAACATGAAGTAGTACAGGAAAAGTTATACAAGATTCCCCTTCTCTGGCCTCCACAATAAAGAGGTGTCCCAGAACTTGGTGTACTCCTGGCAAAATTGTATTCATAATCTCTCTCTTGAGACCACAAGGGGTAATTGTTTTGTTTTTAATCCCTACTTATATCATTTACCACAAGAAGCCTCCTACTGTAATCCTTCATCCTTCAGACTGCAATTCTAGATCTAAACCTCACGGATAATAGAGAACAAGCTTCTTCCCCCAAATATCCTGCACTACCATCTCTCTTCCTACTTTTCCCCATAATATCCATCACCATTTGACACACTTTACGTTTTAATCACTTGTTTTTAAATATCACGTAAGCTAGAATCTAAGTTCCACCAGGGCAGAAATTTGTGTGTTTCATTAACTGCGGTACCTTATCACCTGGAACAATGCCTGGCACATAGCAGGTGCTCAAATACTTGCTAAAAAAATTAGGATAAATGGCAAAGAAAGATGGAAAAGAGCAAGAGCCACCCAATGAAGAGATCTTTTACTGACAGTAAGAACAGAAGTCATATTTGTAATGGTAAAGCACACAATTAAGAGGAAAAACCCAAGTTAGAATACTGGTTGCACTACCTAATACTGTGAGCTTTGTCATAATAAGCCTTAGTTTCCGTAAGTGAAAATGATGTACTATCTATCTCACAAAACTATTATAAAAATTACTAAGGAACACATGTACATCTCATTTAATAACAATCATAAAACATTGTAAGCACCCAATAGTTAAACCTTTTTAAGCTAACTTCCAATTTTAAAAGAATTAACAACTATCAGGGCACCTGGGTGGCTCAGTCAGTTAAGCATCTGCCTTCAGCTCAGGTCATGATTTCAGGGTCCTGGGACTGAGCCCTGTGTCAGGCTCCCTGCTCAGCAAAGAGTCTGCTTCTCCTTCTCTCTTTGCCCCTCTCCCCCCTCGTGCTCTCTGTCTCAAAAAGTTCAATAAAATCTTTAAAAAATAAAAATAATAAAAATTAACAAGTATCAACTGATTTAGGTAATTCAGTTTAGGAAACACAAAACTAGGACAAAAATATATAGCTTTCCTATTTTCCATGTTCTAATTTCTTTATATCTAAATAAATGTGAAGGAATACTCTGATTAAAAAAATGTTTTATCTTCGTGTAATACTTTACAGATTACTAAAACATACACATTCTTTATCTCATTTTATCATCCTAACAATTCTATAAGGTAGACAGAGTAAGGATGTTTATCCCATTTTAATAAGATAATATACATATATGCACTCTGGTATTGGTAGGCACCAATTACTTCCTTCTTTTATACAAGTGACAACCTAGACCCTAGCATGTCTAGTTACCAACAGGGCCAGGTTGGTGAGTCAAGTTCAAGGATGTCTCCTTCTCTATCTCCTTTAACAAGTCAATAAGTCACTTTTGTTTAATTATGCAGCCTCCTGCATCAAACCCAAAAGTTCAGTTGTTATATTTTTCATAACTTCATTACTTTTATCCTTATTGAGATATAAAAGATCCCTAGAGGTTTTCTGATTGAAGATTAGTCTCATGGGGGAGCCTAGCTGGCTCAGTCAGTAGACATGGTCAGTAGACATGTAACTCAATCTCAGGGTTGTGAGTTTGAGCCCCATGCTGGGCACAGAGATTTAATAAAAAAAAATTTTTTAAAGGGGCGCCTGGGGACACCTGGGTGGCTCAGTCGGTTAAGTGTCTGCCTTCGGCTCAGAACATGATCTCAGGGTCCTGGTATTGAGTCCCACATCGGGCTCCCTGCTCAGCGGGGAGCCTGCTTCTCCCTCCGCCTGCTGCGCTCCCTGCTTGAGCGCTCTCTGACAAATCTTTAAAAAAGTAATAAATAAAAAATAAAAACAGGTGCCTGAGTGGCTCAGTCAGCTGAAAATCCAACTCTTGATTCTGGCTCAGGTCATGATCTCAGGGTTGTGGGATCGAGCCCCGTGTTGGGCTCCATGCTCAGTGTTGAGTCAGCTTGGGATTCTCTCTCTCCCTCTCCCTCTGCCTGCTGCTCCCCCAGCCTGCTGCTCCCCCAGCTCGTGCTATCTCTCAATATTTTAAAAATTTTCTTAAAAAATAAAATTAGTCTCATGATGTTGAAACTGTTTACAAAGTTTTTGCCTAAATTTACTGTTTTGTTCCCTAAGTGACAAATTTATGCTTAACTATGTACTTCTGCAAAGATCATGGCAAATAATGCACCTCAGTCTTGCCAAAAGAAGATTAATTTCCATTCTCAATCTCCTCTTTCTTAAACACTTCAGAGATCCAGCTAATGGAGAGTAAAATGGAAAAGAACTGGGGCGCCTGGGTGGCTCAGTAGGTTAAGCATCTGCCTTCGGCTCACATCATGATCTCAGGGTCCTGGGATTGAGCCTCATATCTGGCTTCCTGCTCAGCAGGGAGTCTGCTTTTTTTTTTTCCTCTTTCTCCCCACCCCCCGCCCCTCCCCACTGCTTGTTCTTTCTCAAATAAATAAAATCTTAAAAAAAGAACTGCCCATGATAAAGGCTCTTTTGATAGTC